AACAATAGAATTATTTCGTAAGAGTTAAAAGTAAAGGGCTTTTCTGAAAATTTCTCAAATCTCAATCTACCGCAAATCACAGCAAAACCTGATTCGTTTTCACCTCGTGTTCTTCCCCAAAATCTTTATATAAATATGCTCCATGCGCATCTCATACCAATTCTTGCAAGGGTAGGTTTGTCGCTCATTGTCCTTTAAAAGTAGGGATGTTAAATGGGTGGGTTTGTGTATTAAATAGGCGGGCCATAAATAGGCGGGCATGTTTTGCCCATTTTCCCATTTATGGCCCATTTAACATGTTCTAAATGGGCAGGTTTTTGCCCGCCCATTTAATAAACGGGCCGCCCATTTGCCCATTTAACTGTAGTAGCTATATATAGATAGCACTTTTTGGGGGTGTTTTTTGTAAACTTTTTAGGGGTTTTTTACAAACTTTTTGGGGGTTTTTTGCAAACATTTTGGGGCTTTTTGTAAACTTTTCTTTCTTCTGTAGTACTCATGTCCAGAAACTCAAAAATAACCAACTTTTTAAAGAATGTCAACTAGGTTTTATATATAATAAAATAAAATATATTTTATAAGAAATAAAAAAACCAAATGAATAAGTAAACGGACGATAAAAAGAGGTAGAGAGCAATATATTGTGAGGAAAACAGTAATAAAATCACTTCTATATACAATTGGCAGAAGGCCTGTGAGGAAAATATACCAAAAAAGAATACATGAGGACTGCAGAAGGCCTGTGAGGAATCAAATATACAAGATATTCAAGATAATATCTTTAAAGGATCTGCAGATGTCTTTAGATATACACGAGGTCGAGCATCAATTTGCTCGCTTAGATGTCTTTAGAAAACCAAAGACTAAAGTCTCTTTAGATGTTCATCCAGTAAGATACTTCATTTAATTCCTTTAACTTGCAACCAGTTTCTTAATTGACCTGCTAAATGGAAAATTAAATCAGTGTAAAATTAAAAAGGAAAACAAGTCCATTATAGTGTAACAGTCATGTGGGTTGGAAGGTGAATAAATGATTATTCCCAAATATTGTGAGTTGTTTGATGCCATAGATACCATAGCAGGGCTCGAGAGGAAGAAACGGCAGAATGGTGGCCAGTAAATTAGAAACTAATGCAGAGAAAGTACACACGGAGAACATTTCAGACCTTGGACCTCGCTTCTTTGACTCCCGATTATCTTTATTTTTTTTTGCCTCCGCCTGCACAAAAATGTAATATTTAGAAAGTACACACAGAGATCATCTCTTTATTTCTTCAAAATGTTTATCCCCCATCTTATGTGCAGAGAAACAAGAGATTATTGCAAATAAGCTTGCTTATAAGAGATCATAGGAAAGAGAGGATCATTCAGAGGGTATATAATGAAGTCATTTCTATGCCAAATTTACTGCACACATACACATACTGAAGTTGCACAAACAATGTCTTTTACATGGAAGAATTGTGAAAATTAAGGTCTGCATCTATTTCATTCATCAGGATGGATAGCTGCAACCAAATAATGAAGAACTGAACATGGAAGTTAAATAAACACTCTAGACAATGAAGACCTCACAATCGTTATCAGGTGCAGGATATCGCAGTTGACAGCCAGATACAAATACACTTTTCCATGCATATAATTCTTGATATAGAACAAAAAGAGCGCGAAAAAAACCACAAATTGCATACGATGGAAAATGTCGAAAAATAATCTGCTTTTCATAAAGAAAGTTGAGGAAACAAGATTAAAAGTCGCCATCAATGATTTGATGATGCATTGACAAGCCTTAAAGAAAAAAAAAATTCAAATGTCAAATGGAGGCTTCCAAGTTCTAGCCACTTCAAAAAACACTCAAATCTTCACCTTAAAGACCAACTAACTTTAGTAATGTTTTGTGTGCAACCAGCCTAGTAGTAACGAAATACAAGGAAGTTAAGAGCTCGGGCCATTGTCATCCCAAATGCATGAAACTGAATGCAGTCATGTTTATCACCAATAACGGGTGTATCAGAAATCATAACTTCTACTAGTCTACTAGGAATGCGTCTAGATTCTCATGCTCTTATTCAGCAAATCATAATTCAAAATTAGCATTATTACCAGCAATAGTTCAAGTAATCTTTCTTTAGAGGAAGATAAACATGAAAATCCAGCTCCCAAATTTTCAACTAAAACAAATCTAAATTCATAACAAAATCCAAAATTAGCATTTGTCCTACAACCAAAACTGCAAATTTTCACTAATCAATCGATCACACCCTCATTTTATCAGCTTAAAACAAAATTCCAACCTAAATGGATTACACCGCTAATCAACTTTTGATGTTTGTCTTCTTTTACGTTTAGAAGTACTCTCATCACCACTACCATCATCATGGATGCTAAATTGATCATTTAAAGACATGATAGCTGAAAAAACTAATATAATAGCACATCAATTTTGGGTAGCAAACACATAATAAAGGAGCTAAATTAATAGATTCTGTACTATACATACAGAGGACCAACTTGAGTGGAGATCAAGGGAAATTTGGAAATGGCCCTCAAAATTTCCATAGATTGTAAGAAGAGAGAGTACCTTTTGAGTTGGGTATTAAGAAAACCCATTTCCCAATTTGAAATCTTCTGAAAAAAATAAAATAAATGAGAATTAATGGTTAAAAAGATGTTACCTTTTGAGCTGCATTCAGAGAATCAGTGAGCTGCGCGAGAGAAGCCGCGGAAGAATCCAGCCCTCTAATCAAAAGCACAGAATCTTCTCTAAATCGCTTCCCGCCCTCCGACTCAGCACCATCCAACTGGAAATCCAAGCAAAACCCGAAATCAAAATTGGGTTTTTCCCTTCTTTTTCCAAAGATGAGAAGAAATTTTGAAGTTCGGAATTTTGCTTACTGAAGAAGAGCAGCGCCTAGACCTGCGGTGCTGCTGTTGCTCGAGGATCGTGCCGACGCGATCGCGGAGGAAGAAGGGGCTCCCTTCTTTTTCCAAAGATGAGAAGAAATTTTGAAGTTCGGAATTTTGCTTACTGAAGAAGAGCAGCGCCTAGACCTGCGGTGCTGCTGTTGCTCGAGGATCGTGCTGACGTGATCGAGGAGGAAGGGGGAATAAGAGCGGGCGGGCGGGCGAGTATAGACCGCCCATTTAGCGCCCGTTTAATATGATGTAAAATGGAGCCGCCCGATTAGGCCCATTTAATTAAATGGGTGGGTGTTGGGCAGGCCAAGTGATGGGCGAGCTAGGTGGGTAAATAGGTATGGGCTAAAATTGACTTCCCTATCTAAAAGAAAGTCATCAAAGTAGATAAACTGATATCATGAACTCTCAAGCATGATCACAACATGTGCTGGTCCTCCGAAGTGGACATTTCATGTGCGTCCACAACAACCCCCATAACCACCACATAGAAATCTTGTCTACCTATAGTACAAAATTGAGGCATTCAATAAATAAATTGAAATAATATCACCAAAAGCAAGATGAGGTTCAAGTAATCTTTCTTTAGAGGAAGATAAACATGAAAATCCAGCTCCCAAATTTTCAACTAAAACAAATCTAAATTCATAACAAAATCCAAAATTAGCATTTGTCCTACAACCAAAACTGCAAATTTTCACTAATCAATCGATCACACCCTCATTTTATCAGCTTAAAACAAAATTCCAACCTAAATGGATTACACCGCTAATCAACTTTTGATGTTTGTCTTCTTTTACGTTTAGAAGTACTCTCATCACCACTACCATCATCATGGATGCTAAATTGATCATTTAAAGACATGATAGCTGAAAAAACTAATATAATAGCACATCAATTTTGGGTAGCAAACACATAATAAAGGAGCTAAATTAATAGATTCTGTACTATACATACAGAGGACCAACTTGAGTGGAGATCAAGGGAAATTTGGAAATGGCCCTCAAAATTTCCATAGATTGTAAGAAGAGAGAGTACCTTTTGAGTTGGGTATTAAGAAAACCCATTTCCCAATTTGAAATCTTCTGAAAAAAATAAAATAAATGAGAATTAATGGTTAAAAAGATGTTACCTTTTGAGCTGCATTCAGAGAATCAGTGAGCTGCACGAGAGAAGCCGCAGCAGAATCCAGCCCTCTAATCAAAAGCACAAAATCTTCTCTAAATCGCTTCCCGCCCTCCGACTCAGCCCCATCCAACTGGAAATCCAAGCAAAACCCGGAATCAAAATTGGGTTTTTTCCTTCTTTTTCCAAAGATGAGAAGAAATTTTGAAGTTCGGAATTTTGCTTACTGAAGAAGAGCAGCGCCTGGGCCTACGGTGCTGCTATTGCTCGAGGATCGTGCTGACGTGATCGAGGAGGAAGAAGAGGCGGAGGCGGCGTCAGAGGCTCTAGGGTTCGAGAGGCAATTGAGGCGGCGGAGGAGGAGGCGGAGGAGGAATTGTGGTCGGGATTGAGGCGAAGGAAGAGCTTAGTTGCGGATTTTAGGGTCGGGATTGGGGTTTTAGGGTTTTGGTTTGGGGAATAAGGGCGGGCGGGGGGGAATAAGAGCGGGCGGGCGGGCGAGTATAGACCGCCCATTTAGCGCCCGTTTAATATGATGTAAAATGGAGCCGCCCGATTAGGCCCATTTAATTAAATGGGTGGGTGTTGGGCAGGCCAAGTGATGGGCGAGCTAGGTGGGTAAATAGGTATGGGCTAAAATTGACTTCCCTATCTAAAAGAAAGTCATCAAAGTAGATAAACTGATATCATGAACTCTCAAGCATGATCACAACATGTGCTGGTCCTCCGAAGTGGACATTTCATGTGCGTCCACAACAACCCCCATAACCACCACATAGAAATCTTGTCTACCTATAGTACAAAATTGAGGCATTCAATAAATAAATTGAAATAATATCACCAAAAGCAAGATGAGTTGATCCTCTTGAAAAATTAATAATAGACGTATAAACAGATAATATTGTATAATGCCAACTTTATTTTCAATACAGAGTACAGAAAAGAGTTGTCCAAAAGAGTCGGCAATAAACAGATAATCTTGTATTATGTGAACTTTATACTCAAAATGGAATACAGAAAAAGAGTTTTGTCCAAAAGAATCACCAATTTTAGCTCCTTATTAACCGAAAACATAAACCTATATACGCCTGTGACACCCAGAGTCAACAAGTTTGACACACATAAGACCGAAAACAGGCCATCTTTACACTCGTCTAGTGAGACAACATAATCTTCAGGGCATGACAAGGCAAGAAACTAGTTTATATTGATCTATATAGCGCTAAAGAAAAACACAGCAAGAATTCTACGAAGAGATGTAATCGACATCATTCTACGAAGAGATGTATTCGACATCACAAACTCGGTAGAGCTGCAATCGGAGGTGTCATAGTCGACGGACTATTATCCGTCCAATTCGTCTCGCCCCAGTGCCACAACATACTCTCCCAAAAACAGAACTTCTCATAGCAAATACTCAGCCTTGGATCAGTTATATTTCGTTTCCAATGCCCATCAGCATATTTTGCCTTCTCAGCCTGTCTCCGGTCCCACTCCAACCCCGCCTTCTGCTTCGACCGCAAAAGACAAAACCTCTGCAAATTCTCGGGCATGGCATCATGCACTCTCCACCACCGAGCATGAGCCACATCGCTCGCAAATTCTTGCAATATATCGATGTTCCAGTTACAATCATAGTCTCTGAAGCAGAGCCACGGCTTATATCCTAAGTAATGGAGAACATAGAGAATTGGTGGGTCAGCCCCAAATAACTGAATTTTCTTAGATTTCATTTCCTCCTCGTCGCCTACCCAAAAATTCTTTAGGAAGTTCATGTGCTTAGGAATTCGATGCCACCATGTGAATATCTCGTTTAAATATCCTTGATCTCCTCCATTGTAGGATTCTATCTCGTTGATGTGTTCCATTAGGAGATTGAAAGTACAGTTTGAGGGCTCGAGAACCATCACGCCCGAGTTGAAGAGGGTGGCATTGTTGCCAGTGGCGGTAATCTCTGGCATCGTGAATAGAAAATCGATGTTTCTCAAGATGAGGAGGTCGGCGTCAATGAAGATGATTTTGTCATAGTCAGTGAGCTGCCAGAGGCGGAATTTGCTGTAGTTCCACTCATTGTAGGCGTCGCGCTCGGCTTTCGGGTTTCGGATTCTTTGGATGCTTCGGACTTTCCAGCCGGCGGCTTGGAGGCCGCTTTTGTGGTGGTCGCTGATGGTGTTGTCGACTAGTATGACAAGGTCCTTAGTGGACCCCGCCGTACGAATGCTCTGAGCTGCGGTTATTGCACCACAGACATATATGTTTGCGGAGTGGAGGATGGTGGCGTAGGCTTCTCGGTGCTTTCGGGCATCAGAGAGTGGTCTCACTGTGCGGGAAGAAAGAAGAACCAATTGAAAGTTTCAGCTATATACTCAAAAAGATAAACCATGTAAAAATTTCGAAGGATGGAAAAAGGCAGAACAAAGGTATGATTAAATGAAAATATAGGTGATAAAGATGATAGGATTAGGAGGCAACACGATTGCAAATTTTCTACTGATATAAGAGGAAGAAACGAAAACGAACAAATGACTTTGCCATTTGTGTTTTCGTGTATATTTCGGCAAATTAGTATTTTGTAGGAATATGAACAAATAGAAGCATCAAGTACAGAAAAGGTGAAGCATAAGAGGAAAGTGCATGAAAATATATGTTATGAAGACTACCCTCCCTCTTGTACATAGGAAAATATATGTTATGAAGACTACCCTCTGTCTCTTACATGGGAAACACACTCAATGATATCATGCTGTCATATACCATCTACTCTTTAAAATACTGATCTCTATTGTAAAAAAATTGATAATCAGAACAATTTCTGAATGTCTTAAAATGCATGAAAATATATGTTATGAAGACTACCCTCCCTCTCGTACATACGAAACACACTCTCAATGATATCATTCTATGTCATATACAATATACTTTTATTTATTCTTTAATTGAAAACCATTGAATTTAAAATCACACATGGTGACGGGTCTCAAAACTGCATATGTGTTTATGAGTGGAGATTACTCTGAAGGACGCAGCTCATCTTTTGAAGGCAGGGAGTTAGGTGGTTTGCCAAGATCACCTGAACACTTAGCTTCAATTTATTGCTGTGTCTAACGAAATATTACAAACATATAAAATCATTTTTCCAGATAAGCATCATCAATTCAGTACCATAATTCCAAGCCATTACAAAAAGGATTTCCAACTCACGAATATGAAAAGCAACTTCTAAATCAAATAAATAATGTCTGCAAAGAACATGGTTGTCCCCATATCAGATTTTGAAGTTTCTTGTTAGGTGCTTCCTGATCTCAATCCTAATTTCCTGTGTAGATATCATCAAATTTTTGTGCGCTGTGATGTGTGTGTGTGTGTCTTAGCATGTGCCTGCCATGCCCCCAATTGAAGTTTTGCAAACCTTTCTTGCCGGATGCTACCTCACACAAATCCTAGACCCTCATCTCCAGCATGGATGCAACCAACATTATGTAGTTGCACGTCTATGTGTGCTTGATGGGCTGTTGGGTAGTTTTAATGACCAAGTTTGGATAAAGGATTTATATGAACAGATAAGCATCTGGATCACTTTATTTGGGAATGGATGAGTTTTCCTTAACAGAGCAAAAACATATCCAAACCTGTATCTGTAATTAGTAAACAGATTGGTGTGTTATATATGTCACATTTAGTCCATATCTAATCCATTCACCCCCCCTAACAACCATGCATTCTTGAAGGTGTATGCAACCTCCCATAATACACCTTGTGCATGACCATGTGAGTGTGCCTGAGCAGTGAGCATGTGTGTGTGTGCACGTCTTCGAGTTCATGTGTGCATCAATTTATGCTCTGTATGTGTGCATGTCGGCATGTGCGTGTGCGTGGGAAAGTGTCAAAATGCAATATCATGGAAAGATGGGAGAGTACAATGGACATTACGGATATAGTTATCTAAAGCCATAGAGGTTCAAGCCCTCAAGAAGGAAACATGCTAAAACAACATAATCTAGTGACCTACCTTTTTCGTTAAGAGGGATGGCAAGCTGGCAAGACCCAACAGGAAGCTTGAGCTTCTCCCTTAAAATCGACAAATCTGGCCTATAAAGCCAAGTGTCCTCATTCCTCACAACAAGGTTCTTGCAAGAAAATAAATTCGGGATTGGGAAGCAATCGGTCACAAAGAGAACATGTGCCTTATAACGGACATTACCAGAATCCGCAGCAAGCTTAGCTGCTGCAAGCTGCAAGTGAAACCGAGCAATATCTCTTGACCAATTCTTTGCGGTCCTATTACAGGGAAGCTTGACAGCAATAAGATCGAACTGAAACCCTTGAACTGACTTTGGCTCCGGAAGAGTTGGGCAAATGGGCACTTCTGATTCCTGCTCCTCATCGATCCATTCCGGATACAAGTCCTCCCAAGTTAGATTGCTTTTAGCATAGTCTAGATGCACTATAGAAGATTCAGCATGTGGTAATAGCTGCTGCCAGTTATTAACCTCCGCCACGTTAAAATTGAGTAGACCGAGCTTTAGCTTTCCTTTTGTTGCATCAAGATTTTCCATGGCTTTTGATATTTGGGTCCAATTGGTATCCAGATGAGATTCATATCGTGAATCTGAAATGGCTTTGTCCCAAATCCACCCAACATCAACCAGCCTGGACCTGCATTCAGTTAAGAGCAAAATAAGAAACAGGGATGTTTCAGATTTTAAATGTAAACAAGAAGAACTTTGTTTCCTCCTTCCAAGCAAAGTTTAGGGGTAATATAGGATTCCTTGAGGAGATTTTGGTACAAGCTCGAATCAAGAGAAAGAAAGTTGCTAGAAGAATAAGGCAGAGAGACTGCTACCAAACCAAAACTCCACATAACTTGGGAGATCATAAATATTTTGGGAATATCCAAATTAGAAAAATATTGGAGGATTTAACTAATTTTATTATATAAGCCAAGTAACTGAGTAGCTAAAAGCAGAAGACTGGTAGAGCTCACCGTTTCCCAGAATGCAGGACATGGTCATTATTAACTGCTGGAGAGCAGAGAAGTGTTAAAAGTGTGCCACATGTTATAATAAAAAGGACAAGTTTCAGTGAACGGAATTTGCAGCTTTCGATTCTCTCAGGGATAGCAAATGTCAGTTTTTCTGCTTCTTTAAAGTCTCTGCGCCTTTGGTGCCTTCTTTTGTTTGCTTCATCACTGAATCAGGCAAAAATTCATGGAACAAATCAACGTCTTGACATGGGACATATAAAAAAACTAAACCAATGAAAGCAAATATATGACAACTGATTAATGAGTCAGCTTAGTAATATCATATACAGAATGAAAATGATGTAGTAGTAGAGAAAATGAAAAGTACTCAAAGCACTGATCTCCCAGTTTATACCTCTGTGTATATGAACTGATAAACGTCCTTATATTGCACAAGCATAGAAAAGATGCATATATACAGAGATATAGCTGCAGGATACCACCTAAACATTGCCTTAAACAAAACTTGTCAATTTGATATGCTCAATCCTTTTAGATTACAATATAAAAGACATGTCACATCCTCTTTGGTTTCATGTTTTCAGGAATAACACAGGCAATAAGGATGGATTCTGATACACAAAGGAGAATAGATGATTGTATTAAGCCAAAATTCACAAACAGGTGCACCCTGTTGGCTCATTCAGTAGGTCCTAGCTACGATAAATCAAGTATGAGAACCAATCATTCCAATGGCCTATTTGTGGATGTTTGCGTTTCTTTGTGAATTTGTTTGCATTTTTTGGGCTCAAACTGCAGTGAGCTTTTCTTGGGGCCTTTGGGCCAATAGCAACATTCCCATTGGTGCAAGGGTTCTCACGCAAACTGTTAGGCACAACTTGGTCCATGTGGTTTTAGCATGAAGTTGGGATTGTGCTTTACCAAACAAAAAAGGGAGGAGAGTTATTTAGGATTTCTCCCTGACCTCAAGGAAATAGAAGCTTAACAATATCACAAATTATGCGGGAAGAACCATATTTCTTAATTCACAAGAAAACCTGTTGATTATGGCTTGCACTGAAGCTAACGGAATCCAACTGACTTTGGTCATATGTCAGTCATGGATACAAATTTGATAGTTTTGATAGTTTGAAACTGATGTCGGTCAATAAAAGACGGAGAGAAAGACCATCATCAGTGAAGGTGTAATACCCCAACCCTTGAGAGGGTGATGTGATTAGTATTGATAGATTTGATTGGAATACTCATACCACCAAGATGCATCTTCTTTTCGGGAACCCAACTCCTAGAAACTTCAAAGTTAAGCGTGCTTGGCCTGGAGAAATTCTAGGATGGGTGACCCCCTGAGAAGTTTTCCAGGGAGCGCGTGAGTGAGGACAAAACGTGCTAAAAAGACACGTGGTGATTTGTGAGGCCAGTCCATCAGATCTAATAGCGTACCGACTCCGGGATTCAGGAGCGAAGCGTTACAAATGGTATCAGAGCAAAGCCAACCGGAATTGTGAGAGCTAAATGCTATGCGGCGCAAAGTGCTACGTCAAGAGGACGGGAGCCACCTCTTGAGGTCGTAGGTTTGATTGGACCCTTGAGAGGGTGATGTGATTAGTATTGATAGATTTGATTGGAATACTCATACCACCAAGATGCATCTTCTTTTCGGGAACCCAACTCCTAGAAACTCCAAAGTTAAGCTTGCTTGGCCTGGAGAAATTCTAGGATGGGTGACCCCCTGGGAAGTTTTTCAGGGAGCGCGTGAGTGTGGACAAAACGTGCTGAAAAGACACGTGGTGGTTTGTGAGGCCAGTCCATCAGATCTAATAGCGTACCGACTCCGGGATTCCGGAACGAGGCGTTACAGAAGGTCTCTGAAGTAAAAGTCGCGGGATAATAGACGTAGAGTGATGTCAGTCAAGTTCCCTTTTAAATTTAAGCTACTTACTTTTCGACAACGGACGTGAGACTGTCATCAGTCCAAGTCCTTGTGTTGTTCATAGATTTAGATTCACGTTTTGACTAGAATTCAGTTTGGGATTTATTAGGAGAACTTTGTACGGAATAAACTCTATTTACCTAGGGTTTCACAGTCAGGGAAATATATTGTGGAAAGGGAGAACATTAAGAAAGGAAGAGTGCTCTTGTGAGGGATATCCGAGAGAAGAAGAGTAATTATATTTTTCTTTCAAGATAGTAAAGATCTCCTCTCTTTTCTCCCATGAATGTAAGCACATTGCCGAACCATGTTAAACCTCTTGTTGTGTTTGTTGTGATTGGTCTGATTGTTTGCATGTTTGACCTTAGCTCATCATAAGGTTTCACCCAAAATCTCAACAAAAGTACAAAAGTCTACACCACAACCCCAGTCCTTCGTTTCAAGGCTAGCTCGATCTATCTCTGACTTTAACCTTTTTTTTCCTCTGACCTTAACCTTTGTTTACAACAATGAAAGATTTTTATAGAGCTCTATCATATAGCCCTGACTCCTCATAGTTTGAATAGGAAACAAACTTCTTATCATAATAAGACTCAACCCCCTAATCATGATAGAACGCAATGTTGCGAAATTAAAACCGTGTGGCTAATGTATGCCGCCCAACAAATGGAACCGTGTGATCTAGTAGATTGCGACCTCAATAGAACTTGTAAGCAAACACACAAAATTGACAAAACATAGCAATAAATCAAGATAAATTCACAAGGTTCGGCCCAAAAGCTCTTACAACCGCAGATGGTGGGGAGATGGATTCACTATGTGAAAATTAGAGCACAACTACAAATTTCAATCTCTCTAATCCTCTTCTTTTGAGACCTAGAATAGAATAGATCTATAATTTATTCTTGCTTCCACTTCTCTCTCTTCTCATTTGGGGTTATGTTACAATAGATAGTGAAATTGAAAAATACACCTTACCGATACCCCTTTGACCTCCGAACAAACTGAAATAAAGAGAGAACACTCATAAACCCCAAATTGGCTCTGATTACGATTCTCACTATGAAGCATACACTTTTGGTGCTTCTCTACTCAAGGTCCCTTAGATAGATATTCACCGTGTTCTTACCTGGTGTACCCCCCACGACCAGTGTTAGATTACAGTGTCAAATTACATTGATGGTATTTAAGCATAACTCAAAATATCAAAATTATGTGTTGGAATACTCTTCAAGATGAAGTATGCTGGATTCCTCTTTGTATCAGTCTTTTTAAGAATGATTCCCCCTCCTCGATCAATATAGTCTCATCAACATGTTTGGTTCTTGAATGGAACACATGGTCACTCTCCAAATGAATAACACTTGGCTATTACAATGAATAGTAATGTTAGAAATTTTATGAAGATTATTTGCAGAACTAAATACAAGAAACAAATAACGGCACTAACGAAAATATCACACGTAAGCAAACACCAAAATTTAACGTGGTTCGACAAATCGTACCTATGTCCATGGGGCAATACAGAGAGAAATATTCCACTATGAATCAAAAGTACAAATCCTCAAAGCTACTGTTGACATATTAGTATGTGTAGGAGGTTAATTGTAAGTATGTAGGAGCCTATATAAGCCCAAGAGATTTCAGTAATTAGATAAGTTTTTCAATAACAATATGGTATCAGAACCTAGGCCAACCCTAACCCTAACCCTAGCCGCCCTCAAAGCTACGGTTGACATATTAGTATGTGTAGGAGGTTAATTGTAAGTATGTAGGAGCCTATATAAGCCCAAGAGATTTCAGTAATTAGATAAGTTTTTCAATAACAATATGGTATCAGAACCTAGGCCAACCCTAACCCTAACCCTAGCCGCCTGGGCGCTCCTGGGCGCCGGACTTGACGCCCAGCGCTTAGACGCCTAGGCGGGCGCCTAAGCGGTTTCTGGGCGGTTTTTTTCTTCTGGGCGGTTTTTCTTTTTTTAATTGTGATACTTGAAATATATATACTCAATCACAACGCATAAATACAAAAATACCAACACATATGCTATCCAAACTATAATAGTCAATCAAAGATGCATACATACTAAATGACAAGACATATAATATCCAATAACTAAAAGTTTATGTCCCAAAATATCAGCAAAAAGATAGTCAAACAGGAATAGTCTAGATGTAATATAATGAATTAGCAATATGCATCTAATCAAATGTCATCATCAAGCATCATCATCATCATGAAGTTCCTCCTCTACTCGCATACTTTTTCATTTGAAATAGGAAAATTAAACTTAAACAATTAAACAAATAAACTTAACAATTAAACTAAATATGATATAAATATATTAAGTTGACATGTAATAAATTATAAATGCATAATGACAGTCATAGGTGGTTAGGTGCAGTTAATTTCCTTAAGCTTGAAACAATAAATCTCAACTTCGCTAGCCTGCTAAATTGAAGAACATATAATAAAAAATCCTCACAAGTAATAAGAATCTACCAAACATGAAACATCAGCGGATTAAACTTACTATCTCTCTTAAACAGTTAAACATACAGAAAATTCAAGAGATTTAGGGACGTTACCTTTCCAATCAACACAGATTTTACCTTTCCAATCAATCAAGACAGATTTCTCTTAAACACAAGCCAAAAAATCAAGCAACCCACACCTGGAAGCAACAGACACAAGTAAGCAACCCAATTTCCCTAAAAATTATCAACACAACCGAACCCAAGTTAATGAGAACCGAATCTGCTTAAGAGCACAGCCGAACCCAAAAGTTTGAAGTCGTGTTTTACTTACAGGTTGAAGATGAGAACGCAAGTCCAGCATGAGGATGAGATCGACGAGCTCGAAGTTGGAGATGAGAACGACGAGCTCGAAAATGAGCTCCCAGGTTGAAGACGAGCTCGAAAGTCCAGCACGAGGTTGAAGGCGAGCTCGAAAGTCCAGCACGAGATCGAACTAGGGTTTTGGCGGAGATCGAAGACGAAGCTCCAGCACGAGACCGAACTTGGGTTGAGATCGAAGACGAAGCTCCAGCACGAGATTGAAGATGAGCTCGAAAGTCCAGCACGAGGTTGAAGAAGAGCTCGAAACGCCAGCGGCCAGCACGAGATCGAAGCGACGAAGACGATTTTTGATTTTTTTCCTTTTGCTGGCGGCGTCGGTGAAACCGTAAGAGATTTAGGGATAGATTTTTTTACTTTTGAGTTTGGGTTTTGGGTTTTGGGTTTCGGGTTTTGTTTTTGGGTTCGGGTTCTTGGGAGCGCCCAGCGCTTTTTTTGGGCTGGAATTTTGAAGCGGCCCGTGTAATCGGCCCGTTTAGCCCTGGGCGGCCGCCTAGGCGCTCGCAGCGCCTAATCGCGGCCGCCCAGGGCATTTTGGAACGCTCTGGGCACCGCCTCCGCCTAGGCGGGCGCCTAGGCGGCCGCCCAGAGCGTGTTTTACAACACTGGTCAGATCTATACCATAACAAAATGGGATCGCGGAGAAGGATCTTGCCGTGATGTGGAAGTTCCAGATCTGGGTGTGTAGCTTGTTAGATTCCCTCAACATATCAATCCTAGAACTGATGAGAAGAAGAGTATATCCCACGTTGTTGAGATATATCACTTTCGATTCTTGTTTCCTTTGAGAAACAAGGATTCAATTAAGATCTTACTCTTGTTGTGCAGCAGAAGTATTGCCGAAATTGTCACTGCACACAACAAGGGTTCGAAGAGAAGAAGGAGAACAGGTGTTTGATCTAGAGCCTGATCGATGGAGGAGATCATCAAGAAATTGAACCCTGCGGAGGTCTCAAACTTTGATGCAGCTGATGAAGTTATCAGGTGGTGAGAGCGCGACAAGGCCACCGATAAAGTTGGAGCTTCTACCCATCGATCTGAAGCTTGATTGACCAGCTACTTACCTGAGTTGGTCACGGCAGGTGAGATACACCATTGCAGGGAGGAACCTGAAAGGGTACTTGACAGGAGAGAAAACAGAGTCGGCTGAAGGCTCGACGGGAAGAGATGAGTGGAAGTCCACTCATATGTTGGTATACGTCTGGCTCCTCAACTCATTGGTCCAGTCGATCGCCGTCACAGCAGATGACATCGAGAAGGTGAAGGATGTCTCACAGAGTTGAGGAGGACCTATGATGGGGTGGAGAAAGTAAAGTCAAGCCTTCCTTGAAAAGTCATTAATAAAGGTGACAAAATATTCCACTACTCTGTGAGACCATAAGGGTGTCGGTCCTCATGCATCCTAATGCATGTAATAACAGACTCCCTTGCTCTTGTGAGTTTCTTTTAAATTGGATCTTGTGGTCTACCAAACATGCCATACTTAAAAATTTTCAAACATGTATCCCTTAACACCTTTAAGCAGCGCCTCAAGTGCAACTCTTGCTGTCCTTGGGCACTTACATAGTCGAGCCTCATATACCACAGGTCCACAACTTAGTGTCGTCTTTGTTGCTCTCGTCACTGGCTGCTGCAGCCCCTCTGTTAATTGAGTTGCCAAGCAATTTGTACAAGCTGCGTACCTTCTACCCTTCATAACCACCATAGCACCCTTTCACACATTTAAAACTCCACCTTCAGCTCCATATCGACATCCCAAATTGAGGTTACATAAGGAAAGAGTAGAAGATAATTATAATGAACATTTTAATCCACTTTATGTTGAGAAGATAAACAGAGAGCAGATTATGATTTGTAAATAATGTCAAATAAAAAGTTACAACAAAAACCTATAAAGAAAAGAGAACAATGGAGGATCTATTCTGGTCATAGAAGAGAAGCACTCACCAAAGCAAGAAATGAGAAACAAAGATATCAAATGGAATGTCAAAAGATCAAAATGAAAAAGAAAATAAAAACGATTGAACAAATAAATAGGAAAGATTGAACAAAGATAACCAATAAACCTGCTGAGTAGCAAAATATGTTGCAGAGAAGCCTAATTTCCCCGAATTACAACACCTTAGCGAATTTTACCTTACACTTTCCCAATCTACGTATAAATGACCAATGAGGACATAAAAGGAGATAGATAATGGTAAAAGTATCAAGAGCTAGTCCGCTCATATTGTCAATGAATGAAATAGATAATCAGCCCAAACAAGAAATGAAACTTGTAGTCCGAAATTCTTCAAACAAGAAAGTAACCATTGACCACATGTAGAATAAGATGTACACGAAATCAGAAATATCCTCACTTTCCCTTTCAAGTCCAACAAAGTCATAATTGACAGTCAAAATCTGCTACTTAAAGGCAAAAACAAATTAAAAATCAAAGAGCTAGAGAATCAAAGAACTCACAAAGATCCCGTGGTTCGATGCCTCGCCTCGGCTGAATTCGGAGACAGACCCATTGTCCCTCTCATACCAAGCCCACCACAGCAGCAAGGGAAGTCCTCATCTGATCCCCAATTTCTACAGTCAACCGTACTCATGTGAGAATGTGCAATACGCTCGAATTAATAAATCAAACTTTTAACAACGAGAAACATATAATAACATCACCAAGATTATATTAACATCAAAATCTGAGTGAGAACCTCCAACCACCCAAAACTAAATCGTGGGAAGTACAGCAAACACTAATCTATGCAAGTGTATTATAAGGCAACCAATAGAATATGAGTCAACGGAGAGAAACTTCACCCTGGTGATGTTTATAATCTAAGCAAGTAGGTGATGCAATAAGTTCAATCTTGATTGACCCAGACGACCCAAAGGAAGAAAATAACCATTAAACTCTACTGAAGGATGATGCCCCAAAACCCAGAACTAAAACAGGGAAAACAGCAAGCAAAATGGCACAAAAATGCCGAAAACCCCAATGAAGAGCAACAAACAAGGAAAACCCAGGTGAGAAATCAAGCTGAAATTTCAAAATAGAAACGAAAAAGTTACCAGATTTTGAGGGTCGTTGCATGTTCTTCCTCTTTCATTGTCTTTTTATTTCTGTTTAACTTTCTCTCGGAGATATATTTGGGAGATATATTTCGGAGAAATCGGTACGAGTGTAAGAAATTTTGGAAGCTTAATTAAAGGCTTCCAAGCTGCGTGCCAGTGAGCGAATTAATGCAGGTGGGGATTAACGAGGGAGACTAATTAATTATTTATTTGTAAGCAGTGGAAATCTCGGGATACTGCTCTTTTGTGGGACCATTGATAATCGTTGTTTAACTAAATTTTTATAGCTGAAGGGGGTGAAAGTGAAATGTAAAAATATGTCGAGTTTTTTACACTATTGACAGAGAAAATATTTGTATTTACGGTTTGAGTAAATCCAAAGTGAAATAACAAAGTAAATGTATTTGCATGAATACTTTCAAGAATATTAATATTGAACTTCAACTAATGTACACTGATTTTTGTAATTTCATGTGTTTGATTAAGAGCTAATACATGTCAAGTTTTTATCCTAAGCTAACTTTGGTTACCGAAACACCTTATTAGAACTTGAATTGCACTCATTTGAAAGAATTAGCCTTCCCTTGGCCAAAAAAATATTTTTGAAAGAGGGCATTTGAAAGATCTTGTAAAACTAGTAAATTGTAGGTGAACTGGATTTCTGGATGGTGGTGAAAATGGATCTGTTATATGGAAATTATATGGGTTTTGCTCCAGAATTAAAGCTCACAAGTCTTGTTGATGTTAGATGGGTTTCATTAAGGAATATGTTCAGTTTTGTTCCTTTTGGTTGTCGTGTTAGTTCTAGTTTAGTTATTGTTAGTTATAGCTTATATCCTGTTAGTTCTTGTACGTATCGTGTTAGTTCTATTTCGTGCCCACGTTATTTTTAGCACAAGTGTTGTTTCAAGTTGCTATGTTAGTTCCAGTGTAGTTATTGTTAGTTCTAGCACATATCGTGTTAGTTCTAGCACATCTCGTATTAGTTCTACTTCGTGCCCGCGTTATTTCTAGCACATATCTTGTTAGTTCTAGCATATATCCTGTTAGTTATTGTTAGTGGTAGCACATATCCTGTTAGTTCTAGCACATCTCCTGTTAGTTCTACCCCATGTTAGTTCAAATTTACGCCATGTGCGTTCTAATTCATAACGTGTTAGTTCTAATTTATACCGTGTTAGTTCTACCTGCACCCATGTTAGTTCTAACAGAGGTCATCTTAGATCTACCTAGGATCATGCTAGTTCTGATTTATGTCATGTGAGTTCTAGTTTCTACACCCATGTTAGTTCTAACTGAGGTCATATTAGTTCTACATGGGGTCATGCTAGTTCTGATTTATGCCATGTGAGTTCTAACTTATGCTCATGTTAGTTCTAGTTTCTTCCATGTTAGTTCTAATTTACATCATGTTAGTTCTAGATACGCTCATGTTAGTTCTAGCCGTATTCATGTTAGTCATTATTTGGGTCATGCTAGTCTTAGTTGGCGTCATGTTAGATAAGAATTGGGTCACGTTATTTCTAATAAAGGTCGGTTAGTTCTACCTCATGTTTGCATCTCATGTTAGTCCTATTGCATCTCATGTTAGTTTGGTCTAGTCTAGTTCTAATTTATGCCTTGTTAGTTCTAATTTTAATGCTTAATGTATTTGCTACAGCTTTGATATTACGTGATGACGGGCATAAAAAATATGCCTACGTTGACAGCACCAGACCTCCAATGACAAATTGGGCATCATAGGATGTCAAAGTCCAATCTATGAGGGTGAGGACCATTGCATCTAGTATAATTGTTGGTTATAGTGGCTATGTTAGTTATATCATAGTTATTGTCACTTCTACTTGCTACCGTGTTAATTCTAGCTGCACACATATTAGTTCTGCCTCCAGCTAGCGTTAGATCTAGTATAAGTGTTAGTTATATTATCTATGTTAGTTCTAGTTGAGTGATTGTTAGTTCTAGCGGTTCTCATGTTAGTTCTAGTTGTTCTCGTGTTAGTTCTACCTCCAGCTAACTTAAGTTCTAGGGCAAATATTGGTTCTTTTGCCTATGTTAGTTCTAGCGGAGTTATTACTAGTTTTAGCTATTGTGGGGTTAGTTCTAACCGTTATTTTTTGACTGTTGGTGTGTTTGAAAAAACAATCTTCTTTGATTGGTACTTGATAATCATATTTTTATTATAATTTTATACTATCATTATCTATTTTTAATGAATAAATATGTCACTAATAATTGTTTTTATCTTTAATTGCAGGTTAATAAAGAATAAATCCCAAAATCTCTTCTCTCAACAAAAGCCCATGAAGAATACAAGCAAAGGCCCAAAGTTTAAGCCCAAAAGCCCAAAGGAAAGAAGAAAAACTGCGGCCAACAATTGGAGAAGCCTGCGCATCGATGCCGGCATCGATGCCCGCATCGATGCCGACGAGAGTCTGTTATGCATCTAAGGCTAATATTTAAGGGTTTTGGATAAGAATTCAATCTAATGGCTCACATTCATTGATGTTTGCTATAAATAGGGATCGAGAATAAGAGGTTAAGGGTATAAAAATTTTTGTAACTCCATTCGGAGATATATTTAGGAGATTGATTGGCTCGCTAAGAAATCACTAAGAAAATTTGGAAGCTTTTAAAGGCTCCCAAGCTGCGTGCCAGTGAGCGAATTAATGCAGGTGGGGATTAACGAGGGAGACTAATTAATTATATATTTGTAAGCATTGGAAATCTCGGGATACTGCACTTTTGTGGGACCATTGATAATCGTTGTTTAACTAAATTTTTATAGCTGAAGGGTGAAAGCGAAATGTAAAAATATGTCAAGTTTTTTACACTATTGACAGAGAAAATATTTGTATTTACAGTTTGAGTAAATCCAAAGTGAAATAACAAAGTAAATGTATTTGCATGAATATTTTCAAGAATATTAATATTGAACTTCAACTAATGTACAATGATTTTTGCAATTTCATGTGTTTGATTAAGAGCTAATACATGTCAAGTTTTTATCCTAAGCTAACTTTGGTTACCGAAACACCTTATTAGAACTTGTATGCAGCGGAAATCTCGACAGAGTTTCTGGTATACAATAAGAGAAAACGATCCCAATAAGAATTCTCGTCTCACCAAGGAAACAAGAATCTGAAGCGAATATCTCAACAAAGTGAGATATCGGCTCTTCCTCTCATCAGTTCTAGGACTGACTTGTCGATGGATCCTAAAAACTATTGCAATAGCCACAAACACAAACAACACAAGTTTTACGTAGTTCGGCAAATTCCCTACGTCCACGGGACAAGGAGGAGGAGATCTACTATTAGAGGGAGAGAATACAAATAGGGTTTACAATCTCTCAACCCTCAAACCCTCAAACAATCTCTCTCTCTCTCTCTCTCTCTCTCTCTCTCTCTCTCACACACACACACACACACACACACACACAAATATCTCTCTATTCTTCTCTCAAAAAACAGCCGCCGGAACAGCACACCGCCCAAAAAGAGACTCTGCCGCCTCTTGCACGAACCCTCTGTTTGCACCTCCTCTTTTCCGCCAAAACCCTCTCTGCACGTTGCTCCTTGCACAAAAAAACTAGGGCACGAATACAAAGCTATAAATAGCTTCTATTCGGTATTCGGGTGGGCCAATGAATTGTCCACTGGGTTTGGCAAAGATATGCAATATTCATTCGGGTGGGCCAGTGAAATGTCCGCTGGGTTTGGCCTCTCAAAAGATCCCCTGGATCTTATGGCAGCAGAAGCGTGGGTGTGGCCCCAACGTAACTTTACCTCATGTGATCTCTTCACGTCACGTTCACAATTTTCCACCTCGGCGAAGTTTTCCCAAAACTAAGCCGACACCAACCAAAACAAATGCCTCACTTGTTGCATCCAGTACGAAGTGAAATAATTCATGACAACGGACTCAATCCACAACAAGTCGAGAACCCAAGTGAGAATGCGAACACTCTCCAAATGTCGGTATCAACCCATCAAATCGACTGCATCATAAAGATTGCCTATGTATCCTCTTACCCAAGGAATCAAGCCTCATGTAGTTCGTGAACGACCTCAATCCAATAGAAGAGTTTGCAGCCCTTCTCCAATATCATCAACTTTGCGGCCGATAGAACTCCTAATGGCTCTAAAGTGTAACGAATCAAACACCTCTACCTGAGGTGAACCAATGGCCATATACAAACTACATCTATCAGCTGCACTCCAAATCATGAGTGGGATAGTTCTGCTCATGCACCCTCAACTGCCGTGAGATATAAGCTACTACCCTCTGGGTCTGCATCAATACGCCTCCTAAGCCTGCAGACGATGCATCTGAATATACGACGAATGTCCTGTCACTGCTCAGAATAGTTAGAATCGGCGCTGTAGTCAACTTAGTCTTCTGGCACTCCATGCTCCATATGAACTATACACCCTTCTTCGTAAGGTGTGTAATAGGCGTCGCAATCTTCGAGAAGTCCTGAATGAACTTCCTATAATATCCAGCTAGACCCAAAAAGCTGCGAATCTCTGTCACCGTCTTCGGTGGCTCCCAATCAAGAACTGCCGTGACCTTAGCCGGGTCCACTGCTATGCCCTCTCTACTGATGATGTGGCCAAGGAATCTGACTTCTGAAAGCCAAAATTCACATTTACTGAACTTGGCATACAACTGATGCTCCTGAAGAGTCCTCAATGCTATCCGTAGATGATCCTCGTGATCCGCCTCCGATCTCGAGTAGAACGAAGATCAATCTTCGAGAAATACTGCGCACCCTGCAACTGGTCAAACAAGTCATCAATCCTAGGTAGTGGGTACCTATTCCGGATAGTGACCTTGTTCAACTCTCTATAATCTATGCATAATCTCATACTACCGTCCTTCTTCTTCACGAAGAGGACCGGCGCGCCCCACGGAGAATGACTCCGGCGAATAAAATCCTAAGCAAAAAAAACTCATCCAACTGGGTCTGAAGCTCCCTCATCTCAGCTGGTGCCATACGATAGGGTGCACAGGATATCGGGGCTGTGCCTAGCTGCAACTTAATACAAAACTCCACCTCTCTCACCGGAGGTGATCCAGGTATGTCCTAAAAGACATCCTGATACTCTGAGACAACTCTAGTCTCCAATAACTCAGCACCCTGATCCCGTCGCATCA